ATAACTGGTTGTAACTACCGTACCAATCCCTGCACCCTGCACTCCTTGGTCAGTTGGTCATCATTATCACACTGGTTCATTTTCATCTATAAATCCCTCCTTGGTCTGCTACTTTCATATTTCTCCTCCCACTTGTCACATTGTCAGTGCAGTTACAGCGTGCGCTCTCAGGCCATCATCACCTGCATCGTTCCCTCAGTGCGGAATAAACTTGGCTAAAAGACCTTTTCCTACTCTGGAACGTGGAACACCTTGCAAGAGGAACTGAAGTTGTTGTCCTTGATTTCTTTAAGGGATTTCAAACATTTGATAATGTCAACAAAAAAAATAAAGCAAATATGTTCTTGTTTTTAGTGTTTTACCTTGTATAGCACCCTGATTTGTTTTATAACAGTACATTTATTTTAATTGCATTTTTACTGTAGTTTATTGTTGTTGTTTATTGTTATTGTTGTTTTTGCTTTATATGTTCTGTCTGGAACAAGTCTTTCTTGTAAATGAGTCCTCGTGGCTCAATGCCTGTATAAATAAAGGTTGAATTAAATATATATATATATATATATATATGTTCTGAAAGTTTCATTGCAATCTGTCCAGTGGTTTCTGACAGTTTGTTTACAGACAAAGTTGAAACTAAAATGTAAAGAAAAAATTTCAAACAAAGATCTTGCACATTGAGTAACACTTGGAGTACATGTTGTAACTGAGTCAAAGCTTATCACACAAAGTGTTTGCACAATGTCTGTAAGACTGCTTTAATTTTAGCCATGTTTGTGGTTTGCGATGCCAGTTGGGTATGGAGACTCTATTGAAATGGGTTGGCTCGAAAGGTTAGTCAGTTATAGATGAGCATCAAATGAATATTTAAAAACCGTAAACAAAGTTCTTGCACAAGCTGTTAGTGTTCAGCGTAGATGTTGTGGATTGGTCTGCCCTATACTTCCAAACCAAATTCCATCTCACTATTTGTTAAATTGACTGTCGTAGCAATTTTTGCATTTGTAATTGTTTGACTCCAAAAGTTAATCATTTGCAGATGTGCAACCAATGATTACTTCTTGCAAGTGTCATCAAAGTCATCCAGGGGTTTATGAGATGTTTTGGTAAAAGCCAGCCACACAAACATTAATCTACTGCATACATACATCCACACCGACACGGACTTAAACATAATTGGTCATCTTCGCTTTCAGCAGCAGATATAAAAAAATAAAGTTTTTTTTTTTTTTAAATGTGTCTTTACAAGCTGCTGTAGAAAAAGTATTCATGGATAATAAGACATAATTTCTTGTTTGGTTAAATGAACAGATTACTGTTGTGTGCACTCAGGTGTTTGCACCCACTTCTGGCATATTTCAGATTTGTTTGAGGGTAGAGGTCACAGTCATCATGAATTGTCCTTCAATCCTCCTTTTTAACCAGATACGATCCTCTTTTTTTCTCACAATTTGTCTGCTCTCACTTTCTCCTAGTTCTCCTCAGCCCTCATTTCCTTCCTGCAGTAAAGCCATTTTTCAGCTAAGTGAAATGAGATGGGTTTCCTCCAGTGCTAGATAGATGGAGGTGAGGACAGGTCCAAATCAGAAGGCAATCCAAGCGCACATCACATCAGACTTGACTCCTCCATGATGCCAGGGAATATGAAAGGGCAAACAAGCTTGTGAATGTGCTTGTGCATTGCACAGATTGTAAAATGAAAGTGTGTTGCTCAGTTATGATGCATGTATACAGCAAGCTATAAACCTCTTTCCTTGAGGTTGAGTAATCATCTCCGTTTTATTTATGTGCTCCAGATGCAAGACATCTACAGTTTATCATTACTTAGATGATTGGAGATTTCACCGTTGGACTAAAGAGCGGCCGCAAACATCCCATCCAGCCAAAGCCTTTGGTCAATTAGGCATTAATAATATAGTATGTAAACATCCATGTGGCGTGTGTGATCAGATTGGAAACTAGATGATGTTCACATCAAACACCAGCTGTGGCTCAAACACATCCCATATGGCCCCTAATGAAGACAAGGCCAGTTTTTTTATGATGTTAGCAGACACATGCTAATGACTTGGACATGACACAGATCTTTGATCCATAAACTATCTTCTCAGTCTCCATTTACTTGGCGTTTGAAACAGTTTTGGTTCGTTCAGCATTGGGTTAAAACCACTTTGTCTTTGATCTAATTTTAGCTGCACTGTCTTTTAGGATGCTTTTGTTTTATGGCTTTCATTTTCCTTTATTTGTGTAAATGCTGATTCAAACGTTCCTGCTATCCCGTTTCTCTTTAGTTTTTTCCTTTTTTTTTTTTTTTTACCTTTTTTTGTTAAAAATTCTTCACATTTTGTGCCATTAAACATTCAGCAATAACAAGACGTATTATAAAATCTACATTAGCATTAACGTTACTTTCTTTGTTTTTTGTCTTCTTATACTATTTTTACCTTTTAGCTACCATTCTGCTACTTGTGGGTTTCAGCTAGCTTTTAGCTACTTCTATCTTTTATGTAGTGTTTTGATACATCTAGGTTTTAGACACTGTTCTACCCATTGAAGCACCTTAGTATTTTCTTACAGGCCAGCTTTGAGAAGTAAGTTAAATTTGAAGTTGAGCTTTAAAATAAAAAAGTAAGATGTCCTCTGTACATCCGTAGTGATGGAAAATGGGGAAAAATCTTTATTATTTACAGACAATCTGTAAGACTTGACATGTATGTGCTGGGCGGGTCATCCAGTGACGTAGCTGCATTGGCCAGTTAACAGCTGCTGCCTGCTTACGTTAAAATGGTTACATCGGAAGAAATTGCTTGGAACCACAAATGATATGGTCTCATAAACCGGACTGAGAGTGGTACCGGCAGTGAGAAGGCCTCTAACTAGTGCGGTGTGCGGAAGAATCCATGAGAGCTGAGGCAGTGGCAAAGTGCCATTAGAGCTCTGTAACATTTACCTTTTAGCTTGTGTTTTGCTTCTTACTTACTTATTTTACTATTTTTAAATTTCAACTAGCATACCATTGGTTACTGTCTTTTTAGCTTTACCCTCTGAACTAGAGTTTTGTTACTTCTAGTTCGTGTTTTGCTACGTTTAGCATTTAGCTATGATTTTTAGTTTGTGTCCTGCTTCTTTTAGTTTTAAAAACTTGATTTCAGCTTCTTCAGCAAATTTCTTCAGTCATGTAGCAATCAGCTTTTATTTTATTAAACCTTTATTTAACCAAATAAAAACCCATTGAGTTCAAGACCTCTTTCACAAGGGTGACCTGGCCAAGAGCAGGCATCAGCAGCACACATCATAAAAAAACAAAACAAGGAGCAAGATTACGAAGACTTCAGAAATATATACAAAGTATAAAACATACAGTATAACAGTAAATGGCAATAATTGTAATAAATAATAATTTAAAACAATAACAATTTAAGATCTAAAACACAGGCACTGTTGACAAGATATCCTTTGTCGGTTTTTTAAAAATTTGCAAAAAGAACTCCAAGTGACAAGTTCTGTCAGTTTTAATTCAGCTTGCAAGGCATTCCAAGCTGAGGGGGCAGAAAAGCTAAAAGCTTTCTTGCCCTTTTCTGTTCGAACACGAGGAACATGAAGATGCAAACAGTCCTTAGAGCGTAAGGCATAACTACTGTCCATTCTCCGTATAAAAGTACATAAACAATGTAGAAGCATGCCCATAAGAGACTTATAACCCAAAGTCATCCAATGCGCATGTCACCTGATAAACAGGGAAGACATACTGCTTATAACATACAGGTCAAACTCAAGGCCCGGGAGCCAAATGTGGCCCTCGCTGACATCTTATCCAGCCTTCAAGATGTTATTTTAAATATAAAACACTTTTATCACTTTAATTTTTTTTTCAGTTATTTTTGATTATGGGCAGCACGGTGGCGCAACTGGTAGAGCTGCTGCCTCTCAGCGAGCAGGTCCTTGGTTCAAACCCCGGTCCGGGGACCTTTCTGGGTGGAGTTTACATGTTCTCTCCGTGCATGCGTGGGTTTTCTCCGGGTACTCCGGTTTCCTCCCACAGTCCAAAAAACATGCATGTTAGGCTGATTGGTAACTCTAAATTGTCCCTAGGTGTGAGTGAGAGAGTGAGTGGTTGTTTGTCTCGTTTGTCTCTATGTGGCCCTGTGATGGACTTGCGACCCATCCAGGGTGTACCCCGCCCCTCGCACAGTGATTGCTGGACATGGGCACCAGCGACCCCCGTGACCCAAAATGGAATAAACGGGTAAAGATAATGGATGGATTTTTGATTATGATGTCAAAACAGAGAATGTCAAATAAGACCAATCAAACTCTTGATGAGGAACCTGTAACCAAGAAAAGATGTTGGGTGTCTAATTTGATTTAATGTAGATTCTGAATCCGGCCCTTAGTTTGAAAAAGGTTTTAGCTTTGGCCCCCTTTTGTAAGTGGGTTTGACACCCCTGGCTTATACTCTGCATTTTCACATTAAATTAAATAACACATTAATTCCTCTAGTTCATACAAGAAATGTGCCTCTTTTTCTCCTCTTCTTCACTTATTTGTATGAAAGTGAGTTAGGACTGTTAGCCTAGTGTGAAATGATGCAACACTCAGAGTCAAAGAGATGCATAGGGTTTTTTAATTGTTTTTATCTTCAACACCAGCCAGTTGTACTCGATTGCAGAAACTTTAATGTCACTCTCTAGAGATTGAGTCGCAAGAAAATCAGATTAACGCTTTGAGAGGCGAGTTCTCATTAAGCAGTTCACAACGCAGAAAGCTGAGCCTTTACTTCATACCTTTTACTATTCTTCTTTTTCTCCAACTCATTATTTTTCTGCCTGCTTCAGTTAGTAAGAAGGTTAGCGTCTGCAAGCTGTAAAAAAGAACAAAAAAAAAAAAAGAACGGCTTGATGTTTTGCTGAGTCACTGTTTAGCTTCCGAACCACAATCTGCTTGTTTCACTAACTTAGTTTTGCAGTTTTAAGATTAAGTTGGTTCCTGCTGTTTTTATTTAGGTCCAGATGCCACCAAAGACCCGTGTCTGAGGGTTCGCTGTCCTCCTCACAAGGTGTGCGTCAGTCACGACTTCCAGACTGCAATCTGCACCAATCACAAGCAACCAGCACACAGGTAAGACTTTTATTTTTACTCCAACTTTTAGCAACATTACTTTCTCTTTAGTGTGTTCTCAAAATAATTTTTAAATAAAATAAATTTTGGGGCCTGTAACTACATTCTGATCAAACATCTGAAATAAATTACGAAACATTTTTAATGATGGACACAAATGGGTGACAGGCATCAGCATTACAAAGTACATGCTGAATATAATTTTGCCACTTTCTTCATAAAATATACACCCTGGCCCTGAAATGAGGTCATTTTTATGTTGCTTCAGAACCAGTTCGGTCTTAGTGGTGCCACCATGAATGGACCACTCCTGTGTAGAGGGATGTGGGGTTGGATATATATTGTAAATTATCAGTTATGAGTTAAGCTCATAAGATATGCATTTATTATGCAAATAACCTCATTGAGGGCACCACCTCTCTTTTTAGAGGAAAAATCAGTCTCTAAACCCAAATTAAATGTAAACTGAAACGTGAATTATTGTCTCGGGTTTCAAGAGCATCAAATCAGTTAATACACACAGATATGCCAAAATAAAATGCATAAAATCAACTAAATTTGCCTGTACAGGTATACTGAAATACTCAGTACATCAGATATTCAAGTATTTTAAGTGTGTTCTGATAACAAGCCATATTTTCCGTCTCCACTGTCAAGGGCAGTTGGGTTTTGGACTGAAAAGTAGACAAAGAGCCAGAGGATGGTTTAATGGTTTATTTCCCTGAGAGAAATGTAAAAAAAGTGGTACTGCCTGGATGCGCTGTGGCTTTGAAGGGACTTGAGTGTGACCACTGAGAGTTCCTGAGGAAGCTGCTGCTACAGGAGTTTGTATCAAGTGAAGGGAATCTGGAGGCAGAGGAAAAGATAATCAGTTACCATGAAACAAGATTGTCCAAGACAAGACTTTAAAGTGGTGGCAGTGACTGTGAAAACAGTGTCAGCTTGTGTTGTCACAAGGTGGGACGCTGAAAAAACCCATGAAGGAGTTGGACGCAGTGGAAGGAACTCAGTGATGCTTGTTTAAAAAAATATAAAAGGTAAAACCGAGAATCTGATGAGGACCAGGAGCACACATAATTGTTAGGTTTATTCAAATATGGTGTGGTCATTGGTGATAAACGAGCTGGGCTGCTTTCAGAAACTGCTCCTCTACTGGGACATGTGGTGGATGTATATCCTTTGAGATGGATGATTGGTGACAGGTGTGTTGTTACTAATGAAACACAGGTGAGCACAGGCTGAACAGTAGGATTAACTGAAGACAAAGTGTGGCTATTATAATACAAGAATAACACAAGACTGAATACTCCAAAATACTCTGGATCGTGATAAAACCTATAAAACACACACAGGAATTCACTCTTCACTCTGCTTTAGTCAAATATTTTCACAAAGGATGTGAAACGTTTTATTCAACAGACAAAAGGGAAGTTTCCCTTTATACATGAGTCCATTTTAAGGCATCCGGGGGTGAATCACGAGCTTGGTTGTCCTTCGACGGCAAAGTTGAGGGTTCATCACAAGTGTGAGAGCTTAAACCTGCATTTATGTCTCATCGTGTTCCTTAGCCTATTCAGTGATTTCAACAGCAAATCTTATCTGTTTATTAGTACAAAGTACTCTCTGAAAGCATTAAAATGCATAAAAAACAGTATTTGTTTCCAATCTGGTCCCTTGTTTACAAAGATTGCTCCAAATACACTGCAGATTTATTCCCTACATGATAAACCTTCTAAAATCTTTGCAATTTCACACACACACACAATATTTTTTGATGCTATTTATATTATAATAAATAAACCATTTTAATGCATTATATTTTTGTGCATTGTACAATTTGCATAAAGGTTGAAGTGTTAAGGAGTAAATAAAGAGGAGGTTAAAGCTCATATTACAACAAATACAAAATCAACCTAATTTACAAAAGAATTTAAAAAAAGATGTTTTAATGCAATATTGTATTTATTTTTGGACTGTGATAATACGAAGTTAAGTACATTTCACTGCAGCATTTTATGCAAAGTGCAGCTTAACATCTGAAACATTTAAGGTAGAAAGACAAATTATACTCATAGATGCGTAAAAAATAATAATATTTTGTATTTTGTGTTAGAAGACGGAAAATCTGCTGCGCTTCACTGACTGGCATGCGCACAGACATCCTTCCTGCCAATTAAATTTAATCATACCGTCTGTTTGCTCCGTCACCCTCCATTTTGATTGTGTTTTCAACCATTGCCAAATATGTTCAAGTTTTTCAATTTCTCAGTTCAAGAAGTGTTTCTCCAAAAAGACATTTAAACATGATTTTTTTTTTTTTTTAAGCTTCTTTCTCTGTCTGTCTTGGATGTAATTGATTTCCTCAAGTCATTAGCTCCCAAGAGTTTTGGATTTAATCCTTTTCTTTCTGTTGCATTAATTACAAGTCCTATTTGCTGCTTAATACGTTGGATTATTCGCCTGAAATTTGTATTTTCCCAAAAGCATCATTCACTGACGCCTGATGTATAAATATAATTTTTTTTCTCCATAAGTTAAATTAGTTGTAGTAATTAGCATAACACACAGTCAGTGTCTTCCCAGAAGACAAATCCAAACTTAGTCTCTGCAGAAATTTGCAAACGGATCCAGTGGATGCACTCCCTGGTGCTTTGTTTAGAGGTTTCTCACTGCTCGAAGGCACCTTGTACATGTGCTTTTATTGTTTTTGCATTGTAACTCAATCCATAAGCAAATTGTCTTTGTTCTCTGCTAAGCAGCTGTCAACACAGAAAACCCTGGCAGAAACTGAACTGACTTTACCTGCAGGACTGAGCATAGATATTAGCAACAAAGTGCAATTTAAAAACCATCACCAAGGTTCAGAGTGTTAATTCTGTGCTCATCTGTCCTGCTGTGAGTGAGCTGAAGTACTCTCAAGTCACCGGCCTTCTGGATGAGAGCGCCGTCACAACTATCAGCAGGGTGCTCAAGTACAGAACAAGCAAAGAGGAAGATCGCTTTCTAGTGTTCATCTAAGAATGTCTATTGATCATCTGCCAGTGATCTTCCCTTGGAGGAACATCCGTCATGCCCGCACAGCTGTCGTAGATCGTTCCCAGATTTTCTTCCATTTGCAAAGAATTCTGCAGCAAAGACAAATTACAGCATCTTCACCTGTTTCCTTTGATGCCGTTAATGTTCACTTTCCATCATTTGTTGTTGTCACGTTCATTTCTCTGTAAAGAGTCTGCTTGGCTCCAATTCCATGTCTGCTTGATGGATCAAGCAGCGGGGTGTTCAGTAAGAGCACTTACACAGAAAATTGCTGCAAAGACTTGGATCAAACATAATTATAGTGGTTGCTCAAGAGGCCTCCTTGGACCAATCAGGATCTGCTTCATCTGACCTCATGTGTTCTGCCTCAGCTTTGAACTAAATCTCTATGAATACTTTTAATGTGTGTAAAAGCGACTTTTTTCCACACATACAGCTACGTATTTGTTGTGCAACAAACTGTTGAGCTGTTAGCCTCCAGGATTGTAATATTTCATAATTTTACAAAGAAAACACCATTCTTTATTGAGACATTTTGGACGTGCGATCTCTTAAAACCCTTGTTTTTCCTGTTTTTCTCCTCCTCAGTGTGAAAGCCAGGAAAGGCAGTGTTAGCCACAAGCACAGGGTCGAAGCCGGGGCTCATAGGAAATGTAGGCTTTGCTCAGCTCTCCTGTCAACACCTGTTTGTGGTTCTGATGGACACAGCTATTCTTCCAAGGTGAGAGTCATTCAATTAGCATTTTTCAAATATATATATATATATATATATATATATATATATATATATATATATATATATACATACATGTTTATGTTGTTCTCTTTATTACCACTTTATTCAGCTTTTATTAAAATAGATAGCAGCAAATACAGCAATCCTTGAAGGACTGCTTTCCTGTCTACACCCCTAATTATATCTAATTTCACTTTCTTTTATGCTGCATCACTTTGTTCTCCTGTACTGTGTTGATTCCAACAGATCTGCTCTTGTAGTCTATTGAAATGGGAACAAGAGACAGCCCTCAGAGGTCTTTAGAGTTTTTAAAAGTCATCTTCAGACTGCTTGGAAATGCTCTCAATCCCCTCAACAGCCCATCTGACTCTCATTCCTAACCACTAACCCATGGTTCATAATCTCCCCCTGAGCAACATAAACTCACACTCAGCCACGAACTCTCAGAGTAATAATAGGAAAGCCGAGGTGTAACCTCTGTGATTAGTCAGCGAGAAGATTGATAGCAGGGGATAAATATAAAGTTGTACATAAAACTGAAGCTTTGTCCTTGATGGTACGCTCTGTAGAATATTACAGAGATGATATTTTCCATTACCATATTTTTCGGACTATAAGGCGCAATATCAATGAATTGGTTCTGTTTTCATACATAAGGCGCACCGGATTATAGGACGCATTGGGCGAAACAAAACAGTCAGATAAGTCAAACTTTATTCAACTCATTCACAATAACCCCGTAAAATTGGTTTGAGGTCACTAAGCACAACCAGAATTAAAACATAAGGTGCACCTGATTATAAAGCTCACTGTCAATTTTTGTGAAAATTAAAGGATTTTAAGTGCCTTATAGTCCGAAAAATACAGAATAATGTTGGTTTTGTATTCAGTCATTTAGTTGATTGTATTAAACTCAGACAAGTAGATAATATTAGTGACAGACTTTTGAGAGTTGGACATGTCAGTTAAAGTGTGAGCTGCTGTCATTTGTTCAGTATTGCTCATGGATGTTGCTTAAGTGTTTAAAATTATCCATTTCTTTATGAAGCCATGAAGTAACTCAAGATCAGCGTCATCCAAATGTGAACAATAGTTGCCTTTCTGTGTTTTCTCATATGAAAACTAAAATAACATGTAGTTCATGTAGACACAAAAACATTTAATTTAATTTTAACATTAATTTTATTTTTCTGTTGCTGTTGAAAGTGAGTTGGTAAGGTTGGGATTATTTGTGGCAATGCAGTAAAATTATTAAAAATGGAAGCTGTAAAAGTTTTGAAGATTTTCTTTTATTTGTGGTGGGATTCAACTTTTTCAAAATGTTCCTGTGTTTATTAATTATGCAGTACAAAATACAACATCACTGATACAAAAACACAACAGTAAAAACAAGATGACAAGTGCAACCATGAGAAGTAAAAAAATAAATAAATAAAAAGCATTATTGTTGTTGCTACTTTTAAGAAATACTGATTGAAGAGATTCATAATTACTGTACTTTCCGCCGTACACGTCGCATTGTCATATCAGTCGCATCAGTCCATAAATAAGTCACTTTGCCTTTATAAGCTGCGTTTATTATGCATCACCACTGATCACCCGGAAACATGAGCCAGTGTTGTGTCAAAAATTGATTGGCTGCCAAAATGGAGGCTGCGGAAGCACACATGGGAAGACTTTAACAAGAATTTAACAAGATTAATACTTAAAAACAATTATTTGTTTGCTCAACATTATAGCAAAGGTGTGTCTCAGTTTAACTTTTCCTTAATAAATGCACTTTAATGGTCAAATCAGCAGCATTTTGCCTGGGCGGCGTGGCAAAATTAAGCTAATTTGACGTTTGCTCCAGGACTTCTGGAGCAAGATGAAGGTGGCTCTATGGCAAGCCAATTGTCTCATTAATAACCACTTTTACCTATTAATGAGACACTTGGCTTGCCATAAGACTCGAGGGCCCTCAAGCAGCTGCACATATTTTTCATGTCAGAATGAATGAAATTGTCAGCTCTCAGCTAAAAATTGGGTTATAAATATGGGGCGGGTGGGGGGGGGGTAGGATTTATATTAGTCGCTTCAGTGTATAAGTCGCAGGACTTGCCAATTTCTGCAAATAGGTACGACTTGTACGGCGAAAAATACGGTACCCTTTGGGCAATTGTCACATTGATACAATGATTGTGTTAAATTCTTGGTGAGAATCACTCAAACACTTTTAAATGGACCATTGAGAAATTATTGTCCTCTGCTGGACTGGTGTTTAATTGTAGCCCTATAAGTTGAATGTTGTGGTGCACGTGACCCCAAAATAGTGTTAGTGCAAGCGCATGCACATCATGGCATTGAACTTTCAAATATTTAACACCATGCTGAAGCCTCAAGTGTTGCTTTTTGCTCTCTATCATACTCAATAACTTAGTTTTCTGATTGTCAATATGTTGTTTATTACAACTCTTAATCTAAATATGCTGTTTACATTTAACTTCAAGATCAAAATGACGTCACTCCTTAGTCAAAGTTCAGCTGAAAGTCAGTGGGAATTGCTAATGTGCTCAGTTACCAAGTCAAGTCCGATTTATTTATAAAGCACATTTAAAACAGAAACTGATCCCAAAGTGCTTAACAAAAAAGAAGAAAGATCACAGCATCAAATAAAAAGTAATAAGATATAATTACAGCATATGGAATAAAAATATAAAACACTAAACATAATTAGAAACAATGAAATACTAAATCAGATCACCTTGTGTCAAATGTCACAGAACAACAACAATAAAAAGCCAGTCTACTTGTTATTAGTAAAACACACCAATAACATTTAATGGTTTTGCTTTCAAGCATTTTATAGCAACATGTTCACTAATAGAGGTGTTACAGTACTATGTGTATGACTGATTTACTGAGGAATAAAGCAACAAAAATGAAAGTTGATTGTTTTTGCAGCTACTACAGCGTATCAAAGGCAAATCATAATGACCATGTTGGATTTTGAGAGCTGATCAGAAATCTCTGACTTTTCAGTTTATAATTTTGTATTTTAGGGGCATTCCAGTTGATTTTTATGACATAGCTCAAAATTCAAATTTCTTTGTACATATGTAAAATATTTACATATATAAAATAAAATACATAAAATACATATAATTAATATATATATTAATAATTAATGCATATATAAAATAAAATATTTACCAAAAGCCCCAGTTTTCCAGTTATATTTTGAGATATGTTTTTTTTAAGTGTTTCTCTCCAAGTTACCACCTTTCCTACAACTTCAGTGACAGATAAGTAATATTCTTAAATATCAGGTGGTAGAGATGTCTTTTCAAACATGGTCTCACTTGTCATTCAAGTCTTCTTTAATAGCACATCAAACTCATGGCTTAATTCCTCGAGGCGCCACAATTGTTAGATTTTATGGCAGAGCCATTCACCCACCCAGACCTCCACTCACACCATTTTTTTCCCAGAAGTGCGACTGAGAATGATTCAACTCTTTGTGAACATGGACCTCCTTAATGACCTGACACAGAGAAGAGAATGTGCTGAGAAGTGGAAAAAAAATAAAGCCTTGAAGAGAAACAAAAGACAGGATGAGGGCTGGGAAATCCCTCCATTCTCTGTGGTAATTTAGGTGGAGGGGTTTGGTTAAGCTGGTGTGGTGATGGGTCTCTGTGGCCCAACTTAAATTCTCCTCACCAGTGAGCTGCCGGCCTCCAGCCTATTCATGTTTTATTATTACATTACATGCCCCCCTCATCCTAAGCACACACACACTCACACACACGCTCTATATCCTATTAAAAGGACAGTGCTCTTATCTCCAGAGAGACTTCAGTCACTAAGTTAAACCCATTACTTCCCTCCTCCTAAATCATCTTTTCTCCTCGCCCATTCTTTACGTTGCTTCGCTCTCCTTTTCATTTCTACTCAGCCACGTCAGGTGTTAAAATACTGTTTCATCAAAACCACATTAACCCGTGAATGAGGACAAACATAAAGATTCATGGGGACTCTTTGAGCACTGACAGTGATTAGGGGGATGTCATCCATTTCCTGGACTTTCTCCCTCTTTCTCCACCTATAGCCTCCCCAGACAGCAAATTCAATATGTTGAAAACAGAACGAAGCACGGCTCCTTTTGTCAACAGATTTCATTAAGTGACATTAGCAGCGCTATCAAAGAGGTGGCGGGGAGGAAATGATGGATTTTGAATTAAAAAGCTGGAGATGAGAGTGTTTGAAGGATAGTGCGTGATAAGGACGTGTGCGTGCACAAAGACGTTTATGCGCAGTCATGGTCTCTCCTGAAAATCTTGTCGTCATCATCTTGCAAACAGAATTTACATAACTCATTTCATTTTTCATTAGTCGTCTTGGAAGGGTCTTGTAATTGGATTTTTATTTTCTTTTTAACAAGTCCAAACAATTTCTTACCCCCCCCCCCCCCCATTTACCTGAAATAAGATTTGTACTGGTAAATTACATTCAGAAGTAGTCAATCTTTCGTATTTTTTGCAACAGCTTTGTACTGCAATAAATCATGAAATGTCACTGGGCATCCTGGTGTCTACTGCTGTGTCTACATGGCTGCCTAATGGACACATCTGTTCATTTGAAGACAAATGACCACTCCTGTCCAAGCAACTCTTTCCCTTAATCAGCTCACAAAGCTCAATATTCAGATTCTTATTTTGGAACAAAACCGGTGCTTAATTTGAGGCAGGTCCTGCCAGAACAGAATCCGGGAACTCCCTTTTTTGGACAGGGTGTGTTCCAGTAACTAGTTGCTTGGATTTGCTAACTCTCAGGCTTAATAATAATAAAGTTATGAACAAATATGACTGCCTTGAATGAATAAAACCTATATTAGATATGTAATCTGAAAATAATTACATAAATACTCATTTTAAAACATAACGAGCTTCCTAATATTTGATTCAGTTCAATTTCAATTCAGTTTATTTATATAGCAAAAATGGTTTAATCACGTCATCTGGACTTGTTTCTTTACGTGAAGAAACGTTTCGTCCACCATCCAGAGGACTTCGTCAGTCTGCGGCCTGCCAACCAGATCTGTCCCATAAGTAGCCTTCATTGCTGTGTTTCAAGCCAACCTCTTGTTGGAATCTCAGAAGCAGACGTTTTTAACACGTGCAAACAGAGCACACCCATCCGAAAACCATCAATCGTCATTAACAGCAATCAATTGTTTTAGGTCAGGTGACCAACTTGCTACTCACAATAACAGTCTGTGTACAACCAAGGCCAGAGTGGTTCAGGAAAAAAGTTTTGTAAGCTCAATCATCCAGGTAGACAACAGCAAAAACTGTTAAATCTTCATCAAGCCTGCTTCTGAGATTCCAACAAGAGGTTGGTTTGAAACACAGCAATGAAGGCTACTTATGCGACAGATCTGGTTGGCAGGCCTCAGACTGATGAAGTCCTCTGGATGGGGGATAAAATGTTTTTTCACTTAAAGAAACAGGTTCAGATGACATGATTTAACAATTTTTGCTGTTATCTACCTGGATAATTGAGCTTTCAAAATGTTTATTTATATAGCGCCAAGTCACAACGGAAGTCGTCTCAGGGCACTGAACAGAAACATTCGTATTTAAAAATAATAATTTAATTTTTTTTTATCTGAGGAGAAGACTGCTTTGAGTATAACTCAATCCTAGAACTCTCATCTTGAGCAAGCATGGAGGCGACAGTGGAAAGGAAAAACTCCCTCATGAGGAAGAAACCTTTAGCAGAACCAGGCTCAGGACAAGCGGACATCTGCTTCGACCAGCTGGGTTTGAGAGGAACAGATACACAATGGCAGGTCAAGAATCACATGTTAAGATAGAAGTAGTATTAAATGAAAACTATTCAATTTTAACAATTAACAATACTTTTAACAATTCATTTGAGGTCAGTATCACATCAGAGCTGTCGCTTTGCATTTCCGCTTCTGCTCTTAAAAAAATCTCCATCCCTAAAAGTTCAAAGTCATGGGCAATTCGATTAAAAAACACAAAAATATAATTAAAGTTTTGCACTTTGCATAAGTTCCAGGGCTTTTGTGAACAAGCTGATATGTGAGTCACTGCAGGAGTTACCTGAACTGCAAAAAAGGAGACAATGGTCTCAGTTCGAAGCTATTTGTCGTGCAGTCAGAGTATTTGAAGCGATGGAGCGACCAGTGCACGTTTCTATTGAACAGGAGGATTGAGAGCAACTCTTTTCTAAGCAGCAAAGCGCTAAATATTAGTTAGCTTTTTCTAAGTGTGGCCAAAAACAGAGCTGTGCTTGTTGTCCCAGGGTGGGCGCCTGCCCAACAAAAACCCTATGATCATTGTACTGAGGAGCTGCAGGTGTTTTATCCACAGTATGGCCTGAGGACGCAGGTATACTCTGTGGACAGACTGAGGTCGAGTCGCTCTGTCTGCACTTCAACATAGACTGCCCCCACCTATGATTCACCTAAATATTCAATAAATATTGAATAAATGACGAGTCTTAAACGGGCCAGTAAAATATATGATTTTTTTTTTTTTTGCATTAGTGGAACCCTCGACCAACTTTTCAATCAACCCAGCATGTCAGCAACTGACCAATCAGCAATCTCAATTTGTCCTGAACTGAACGCCCCTTATCTGCAGCGCTGCAGCGGTGTTACATTACAAACACTTTGCAGTCATAATTTTAATAATAATTGAGTTTACTTATTTTGTTTCATGTTAATCTACTTTAATAAACCTTTGTAAAATACACCAGAATGCAAGAAACAGCAAATTCTCTGGGGAGGACCCACAGACCCCCCCAACACCCCCCATCTTCCCTCTATTTGCATTCCAGCATTGTTTGGTTTACAAATTAAGCCCTGAACAAAACTTCCAAACAGTCCTGTCCTGTAAGACAGATGTCCAGAATTTATGATTCCTCACAGTGTCATGGCTTTATTTCACTTCTCAACATTTAAAAACATGTTTTTGGTTGTTGTTGTTTTTTTAGTTTCCTTAAGCTGAGTGTTGGAGTGTCAGTGCACGGAATGATGAATGGGCACAATTTGATGAGCTTCACATTCATCTGCTAAAAGTACAACGCTTCTACTAGTTCAGCAAATAACCCATTTTATGAGGTGGGTGCACAGCTGCGGCTCTTTGACATGTCGAATAGCTCGGAAGCCAAATCTGGTGCAATATTCAACTTGCAAAATACAACTTGAAGCCAGCCCCAATCTCTAATGGGAGTACTCTGGTAATGGGTTTTTACCGTGAAGAGAAAAATACATGTTTCCGCTGACTTGACTTGACGTTGCATTTATAGATTGTGTGTTATGAAAGAGAAATGTTTTTTGTCATTGACTTGCAAGATAATCACTCTTACGGATGTCAAACACAAGTTAGTATTTAAGGTAATTTCCAGTTTTGAGGTATCTTGTGTCATGAAGCATTACATTACATTATAATAATAGCAATTTACTTAAAGTCTAGACAAAAGTGACCCCCCCCCCCCCAAAAAAAAGTGCCTCATTAACCAGTTAACAGACTTTGTGCCCATTTTCATGCATGAGAAACACTGCAGATATCATGAATCGTGAGGTAACGACAAAAATAACAAGCAGACGGGTTATGATTATAAACATTTTCTTGTTTTGAGCAGTAGAAGAGAAGAAGCACTTCTGAAATTGTCCTTTTTTTTTTTTTTACTGAGGATCAGCTGGTTCTGATAAACAAGATCTGAGTGAGGGCTGTCAGGTGGTGGAGGCAGCGCGAGAGGGTTCTAATTGATCAAAACTTTGAAATGACTTGTTTTTGAAGCTCTTATTGCTGCAGATCTATTACTAGGTAGGTCATATTTTCAAATTAATGCTATATTTATAATATGGATAACTACAAATGATGATCCATCCATCCATTATCTTTACCAATGTCTTCCTTTTCGGGTCACGAGGTCACTGGTGCCCGTATCCAGCAGTCATTGTGTGAGAGTCTGGGGACACCCTGGACAGGTCTCCAGTCCATCACAGGGACACATGGAGACAAACAAGACAAACAACCATTCAGTCTCTCACTAACACCTGGGGAAAATTTAGAGTTACCTATCATCATCATCATCATCATCCTCACCAACTTTATTTATAAAGCGCTTTAACAGCAGCCACAGCTGAAACCAAGTGCTGAACATCAGTGATAAAAAAGATAAAAGAAAGCATAAAATATAAAGTGACAAAGCTAAGCACACAATAATGAATTAAAAACGCAATAAAACTACGAGTTAAACAGATTAAATCAGTACCAATAAAATTAAGTAAAATCAAGTCTCAGTTGGGTTGAAGGCCAATGAGTAAAAATAAGTTTTCAGACGGGTTTTAAACATGGACAGTGAAGGGGCCTAACATGTGCATGTTTTTGGTCTGTGGGAGGAAACTGGAGTACCCCAAAAAAAAAAACCACGCATGCACGGAGAGAACATGCAAACTCCACCCAGAAAGGTCCCGGGCCAGGATTTGAACCGGAAACCTTCTCGCTGAGAGGCTACAGCTGTACCAACTGAGCCACCATGCCACCTATAAAAGAAGATGATTTAAAAAACTGCTACAAAACTCAAAATATTTTAGTCGTCCTCATTCAGAAACAGTAATCATCTTAGTAGGATCACTTAAATAAGTAACATTGTTAGCTGGTGAAATAAGGGAACCTTTTTTGTGAGAAAGTCTCAGGTTTAATCCCCAATTTGTGCCATCTGTACAGTATTTCAAGATATCGTTGTGCAAGACACTTAACTCCTCCTTGTTCCCAGGTCGTTCTTTTGTTTGCTTTAGATAAAAGCCTTTCTTAAAAACTGTCATTTTTAAAAAGTCTGACTTTGCTCTTCTTCTTTTTTTTTTTCTTTGATGAGAAAACTGAGAAGACATTAGTTCAATATTTGATCTGCCACAGCTCCTAATCACGGTGTAAATGAAATCAAGCCTGCTCTTTTTGTTTCAGTGTAAGATGGAGTTCCAGAGTTGTTTGTCTGGGAAGATGATCTCAGTGAAATGTGATGGACTGTGTCCCTGTTTGCCTGGTCACGAGTTCATCAAACCATCGCACAATCCTGAAAAGGCTGGTAAGTACGGAGCCTCCCTGTTGATGGCAGGTGGGCAATCATGTAACTGCCTGTGCCAGTGTGTTCATCTCTATCTGTTAGCAAAATATCTCATGAATCGCTAAACAAATGATATTGAAATTTTTAAAAGTATAAATAATGGGTGTACATCTATAACTGATTAATTTTCAAGGTCAGTTTAATTTAAGATGGCTACCACGACCAGTCATCGTTAGGAGACATTAAACCGACTATAAGTCTATTTTTTATAGATATTGAACTAAAACTTGTTGTGGTAGTAGTTGAGCATCATCTGCATATACTCTGAGGAGATCTTTGTTTAAAACTTTAGCATGCAAAGCAGCGGGCAACATACATTGCTACAGCCGCCCTGCATTTATGGGGCAGCTGTGGTTGAGTGGTTAGAGCAGTCATCCTCCAATGCAAAAGTTGGGGGTTCAATTCCACTCACAGTCGCATGCCAAAGTGTCCCTGGGCAAGACATTGAACCCCTCATTGCCTCCGATGTGTGTCCCATCGGTATATGAATGTTTATATGAGGACACAGATTGTAGTGTAAAGCACTTTGAGTATCTTGATCAGAGAGAAAGGTGCTATATAAGTACAGTCTGTTTACCATTCCTTCTAGGAGTGCTAATTTATTTAAAATGTTGTTTTTTTGTTTTGTTTGAAACACAAAGATCATACATTGTGTTCAATTTGTTTGTCATAAAAAAAATTGCTATACAAATTCTTTTTTTCCCTGTATGAGCATTTTTAATATGCAGGTTCTTTGTGGGAAATGAAGGTGCAGACAGAAGAAAATTATGTCTTTAAACCAGTTTCAGATTTAAAAACACTCCACTGCAACTCGTTCGCCACACTAAAAAAAGACATCAACAACAACAACAACAAAAAACATTTTATCAGTAAAGCCTCCACTTTTTGGTAATTCTCAGCATTTCCATTTTTTTCTCCTGTCACCTCTCCCCCTTACTTGTGTTATTTTCTTCCCATCCACCCCCCATCTCTGTGACAGCTGCAGAAATTGGTGATGGATTGAGTGTGTGTGTCTTATTGTTTGTCAAGAAAATAGGATTTCTGCAGATGGATGGAGGGATTGTGGTGGAGAAATGCAATCTAGAGGAAAGCTGCACGGAAAAGGATGAATTGTTGTTGTTTTAGGGTCTCTGTACCTCAACCAGAGGGAGTGGTTGTGTTTTTGTTGTGAATCTATTTGTCTACCTTTCTATTCCATCTAAATGAGTGAATTCTGATTCTATTTTTCTCATAGAGAGCAGCGATTCCTTCAAAAACATGGGTCTTGTTAAATCTGCTTCAGCGCACATTCTTGTGCACTGAAGCAACTTTTACGCTGAAGAACTTTTTCCTTTTTTTTTTTTACTGTCAGTAATAGCTGACATTTTTTTATGCTTTTTGTTAGCTTTTTAATATTTTTTTAGCTTTTAACTAGTCATTTGCAACTTCTTTATATTTTTCTGTGCTTTGTTTGTTTTTAGCATGTTTTATTGCTAATTTTAGCAGTTAGCTAATCTTTATTTTTCTTTGAGCTTTTGGTGTAGCCTTCATATAGATTTAGCTGCCATTTACAATTTTGTTACTTTTAAGTAGAATTTTCCTCTTTTGGCTTTTAGATGTGTCTTTTGCTACTTTCATTTCATTTCATTTCATTTATTTCTTTATTGAAATTGGGACAATGCATATTAATCAACAGGTCAGCAGTAAGCATCAATGTAAATATGCCGGAGTTAGCACAGTAGCTAATTTTCATCCGTTGTCCTAAGGCAGGTAAGAACAAGAAACATCCCACAAAACAAAAGAGCAGAGAATAATACAAACATCACCTATATAGAACATAACACAACATGAGATTACAATAAAGATATAATACCATAAGAAAATAGACAAAGTAATCTACACATGAGTGCACTTCTGGTTAGTTTTCAGCCAAAGTTTCAAAGAGTTTTTAAAGCTGGAGTAGGTGCCACAGCTCCTGATGGAAACTGGCAGTGTGTTCCACGACTACGTGCCTCTGATGGACACCACCATTTGGCCAAATTTAGTCCTGCGCCGCTGTACATCACAATCTCCTCTTGTCAGTGCTCTTGTGTTTACTGTACTTGTTTTTTTTACTTACCAAATACATTAAAGGAGGAGGAGCAAGTCCATTTAAAACTTTAAAAATCAGGCAAGCATCCATAAAAATCTGATAGCTATCAAATCCAAAATGTTGTACTTATTTATGATGTTACAATAATGATACCGTGGAAGCTTTTTGTCAAAAATTTTCAGTGTTTTCTTAAAAAGAGACTTTAGGGGCTTCATGATGACCTCTGAAGTGTGAGACCATGTGGTATAACAATAGGCTATATGGCTGAAGATCATGGCATGCATGTAAACCTTTGCTGATTCTGTTGTCAGAGAAGGTCTTATATGTTTGAAGTTTGCCAGATTAAGTTTAATTATATGTGAAATTCTCTTTACATGCTGCTTGAAATTTAGATTGGAATCAAAAATGACTCCGAGGTATTTAAATTGTTCAACCACATCTAATGTCTCGCCATTGACTAACACAGATGGTTGCTCATTATCTGCTGGCCGCCGAGAGAAAAACATACAGACTGTTTTTTTTAATGTTGAGATGTAGACAAGAGTCCTGGAGCCAGTGAGACACCGGCATCATAGCACTAGCAAGCACAGCAGCAGTGCAACTTTCAGTTTCTAGATCCTATTTTTACTTTTTGCTTTCAGCTATAATTTTGCTTCCATTAGCTTTTAGCTAGTGTTGTGCTTATTTTAGCTTTTTTCTCTGTTTTGTTTTTAGCTAGGGTTCTGCTCTTTTCTGATATACCAGCTGAGTTTTAGCTTCTTCAGTGGTCAGCACTCAGCAAACGGCATTTTCTCATAAAAATGCAGTTTACCAGTTTAGTTTTTCTGAACTTCTCAGTACAGCCAGTACCAAGACTTTCAGACAGCAGCTCCAAAGGTTTGTACACTCAGAGGTGGCAATGATGAATCAAAGTGTGCATTTATCAAGGCTGCTGTCTGATAAAACTTCTCATTAGATCAGCAACGCAAACTGGCAAACAGATGGGAATAGCAGTAAATGATGAAAAACTCTGTTCGTGTCATACCACGTTTCTATGGAAACGGTCAAAAGACTGGACTGTATTACTGTGGGTTCAGTAATAACCAGATATAAACTGGATTTGAACACTCTGAGATGTAAACATCCCGGTTCACACAGCACCTGAACCTGAACCTGTAATGTTAAAGTGTTACAGTCAGACAGACAATCGTGTCTCCAAAAGTGCAACGCCTTAAAAAAAATCAAGAAAAACATCTGTTGTTGCAGTTGAATAAACAGTTTGGTCACAAGCTCTTACGCAACCACAAACGGATGTGAAGGGTGACCAGCAGAGATTATTTATGCAAAAAGATAAAAAAATAAATATTTTTTATGGAAACAAAAGGTGCAGGAGAGGCAACATTTATAAAACTCGTTTACTCATCATCTGGGCATGTCTGTCTGTTGGTTAAATATCTCATGAACCGCTGGATGTATTTTAATGAAACGCTCAGAAAGTGTTCATTGGGTTTATATCTAATGTCGTCCTTTCTTACTTTGAGCACCAGAAGAACTCCATGAGGATGTTAAACCTCTAATTTATCATCACAGGGGTATAATAATTAAATTTTTATTTGTCTTTTTTTTCCCGATTTGTTAATTAATAAATTCCAACAAAATCCACTTTTAAAACACGCTGTATGAATGAAAACAAGACAATTTGAAATGACAGGAATGCATGTGTGAAATCCCAGCCGTGCTGATGTGGATGCTGTGTCTTGATATAATAAGCTGGACATGCGGAGCAAAGCTAATTAAAGTCCCATCCATCTCCTCACAGCAGTGTTTAAATGACTTTGCAGAGGCCAGAAATCTCACTGGGTTCTAATAATTTGATCTAAATGATTAGAGTTATTGTTGTCATTTTATAAAGTTAATCTGTTCAGCTGGTGAGAAAATGAATCCAGACTGTCTTAGCGATTGGATTTAATAAAACAGTGGTATCAGTGGTATTACGGTAGACTGGCAGATGAAAACAGGAATTATATATTCACTGTTATTACAGTTTAATCAACACTGAATCTTACAAGCCCCAGCTGCTGTAGAGTCCATCAGAACTAACTTTGCCGCATCTTAGTTACTGATGTCTAATTGGAAAAATCTGTTTAGAGTTCAATAATTAAATCAACATATTGAGTCTCTCGCTATTTGTTATATAACAGTTCCTACAGTGTTTAAATTTGATACCAAAATGCTTTTTTTGTTTTATAATTTAAAAAATGACAATGTGTAACATGCCATATATATATACACACACATACATATACTTTTACTTTAAGTATGGCTCTCTAATTTGAAAAACAGCAACATTTTAATGTGTTCATCGAGCAACTTAAGTAGAAATGCTTAACTTTCTTCGGTTAAGCAACTTTAAACTGATTACCTTGTTTTAACAAACAATATTGCGTGTGTGTCTCTCTGTTCTCAAAATATTTCAAATTGACAAATTTCAATAAATCTTTGAGAAATTCATCCACCCATCCATTATCTTTTACCTGCTTCTTCCTTTTTGGGTCACGGGGGGTCACTGGTGCCCGTGTCCAGCCATCACTGTGAGAGGGGTGGGGTACACCCTGGACAGATCTCCAGTCCATCACAGGGACACATAGAGACAAACAAGACAAACAACCATTCACTGTCTCACTCACACCTAGGGACAATTTAGAGTTACCTTTCAGCCTAACATGCATGTTTTTGGTCTGTGGGAGGAAATTGAGTACCTGAAGAAAACCCACACATGCACAGAGAGAACATGCAAACTCCGCCCAGAAAGGTCTCTGGACCGGGATTTGAACCAGGGTAACCTGCTCGCTGAGAGGCAGCAGCTCTACCTGTTGCGCCACTGTGCTGCCCTCAGAAATTGATTCAATCA